GGCAATCATCATTCTACACATAATTCCCCTTGAAACCTTTGAACATTTGATTTAAAGAGTATTTATAGAAGAATGAAAGAGAAATGTTTGTCATTGAGAAACGGGAGGACCATAATGAAGATGGCTCCATCCAAATCCGCATTGATACGCTTCAGCCTAGTCTTGTTTGCTCTTTCTTTGCTTCTCTACACTGCCTTTTTTCTTCACCCTTCTTCATCAGTCTACTTTAGCGACGCAGCTTCCTTCGTTGGATGCTCCTTTCGCGATTGCCATCCTAAGGTAAGGTGAGTTTTTCCTTTTGCTTTGATAACTGGGTAAATCTTAGACCGAAACTCAAACTAATGCAATTTTGATTATTCTTTGGAGCTATAGTGGGAGAAAGGAGTGAAGATGCAAGAACTCTTTGAAGAGAACCAAATAAACAAGATAGATTCGGAAACGGCTAGTAATCAAACTAAGCTTGAGGCACCAAGCTTCATGGAGGAGATTCTAACAAGAGGGTTAGGGAGAACAAAGATAGGGATGGTGAACATGGAAGAATCTGATCTTACACAATGGAAACATTATGGTGAAATGATTCACATACATTTTGAACGTGTCTCTAAGCTTTTTACATGGAAAGACTTGTTTCCCGAATGGATAGACGAAGAGGAAGACACCGAGGTTCCTACATGTCCTGAGATACCGATGCCTGATTTCGATAGCTTAGAGAAGTTGGATTTGATAGTAGTGAAGCTGCCTTGTAACTACCCTGAAGAAGGATGGAGAAGAGAGGTTTTGAGGTTGCAAGTGAACCTTGTCGCGGCTAACTTGGCGGCCAAGAAAGTGAAACAAGATTGGAGATGGAAGAGCAAAGTGTTGTTTTGGAGCAAATGTCAACCGATGATTGAGATTTTTCGATGTGATGAATTGGAGAAGAGAGAAGGAGATTGGTGGTTGTATCGGCCTGAGGTGGTTAGGTTACAACAAAAGACTAGTTTGCCAATCGGATCTTGCAATCTTGCTCTTCCTTTGTGGGCATCACAAGGTAAAAAAAATACTTTAATAGCA